TCCACAGGCTGCTTTTTTTCTGAGAAAGTCAGTGCTCCGCTCTGCCCTCGCTGCTCCTCCTAGAAAACAAAGAGCGTCAGGCTTTCCTCCTCCCTGGGCCACTGCACGCTGTGCTCCTGTGCAGCCCCCTCCGCGACCCTCGCCGGGCCTGCCAGCCGCACCGCCATCCCCAGTACCGGCCGGGAAGCAACTGCAGCTTGTGCTGTGATGGGGAGCAGCCAGCGGGGACTTACCCTGTGAGGCAGGTCTGCCCTTTGCCGGGTCATGTACGAGGCAGGAAGGTCGGCTTACTCGTAGCAAGTGTCCCCTGCCGAGTCCCAGTGCCTGGAGAGTGTCTGTCGCGTTAAGGGGGGGGTAAGGGGAGTCTGATAAGTGGCAAAAGGAGAGCACTCCCGTTGAGTCACGACGTTCAGAGAAGACCCCCTTGCTTTCGAAACTCTCTCTCTCAGAGGAGAGTCTAGGTGTGGCTGGATCAACTCCTGGTCCCAGACTTGGTCAATGGTTTATGTCTAAAGGGTTAAGTGTGCAGCCACTTCTCAGATTCAACGTGCCTGTCAGAGCCCCTCCAAGGACTTTCACTGAAACAGTTTCACAAAGTTGAAACCATAGGTAATTTATTCACGCGACAGGTATCACAGATTTGGGATTGCTGTTGATAAATGCACTGTCTGCAAAAGCTGAGCTCAAAGTAATAGTTTAGCGCTTTAGTTAACAATGTGTTCCCGGGGATACGTCTGACAAAGTCAGAGGTGCGACGCTTACCAAAAAGGCGTCTCTTCCTGGGGAGGGAAGAGAGGTTCAGGCCCGTCGACCCGTCCGTCAGGTGAAGTTCTCGCTTGGCTCCTCCTCCCAAAGAGAGTTTTCAAGTGCCAGTTTTTATATGTTTGGAAATCTTTTTGCGAGGTGGGACTAAGTCAATTATTGTGTATCGATTGGCTCTTGGCATGGAATGTCGTGTCGTCAGAAGCGGGTTTACAGTGATGGGCTATCCCCCCTTACTTTTGTCTGATAAGGACCAGTTAATTAGTCCCTTAGTTAGCTCTTCGGCTCTTGACACCTCAGTCGAGAGACGCCTCAGTCTGAGTTTGTCTTTCGTCTTGCATTTGACAAGTCCAGCAAGGCCATCGATTACAGTGTCCCCTTCCAAGCCCCAGTGCCCAGAGACTGTCCCCTCCCGAGTCCCAGTGCTCGGAGGGTTTCCCCTCCCAAGACCCAGCGCCCAGAGAGTGTCCCCTCCCAAGTCCCAGCGCCCGGTGGGTGTCCCCTCCTGAGTTCCAGCTGGCCACTCATCCCAGCAGAGAACTACAGTTCGAGCTTTACCAAGCCCTGAGGTACCATAAATTTTCTGCTGGTTCCCCAGAACTTCCACCCCGTTTCCCCTCACCCGTGGAAGCCCCATGACTCGTGCTGCCCCCGGTTTCGAACCTTCCCTGGGAATGCGGATCCCGCAAGGACAACCGGGTGAACTCACCCAGTCCCAGCCGTGCTGGATGCCGTCGCCACACTCAGCAGGTTGGGAACCGGCAGAGTCCCACCCAGGTCACCAGCTTGTCATCAAAATGGATTTGCTTGCATTTTTTTCTTCCTGTTTGTTTGCAGGCAGCGGAGAGGAGGCAGCAGCAGTGTGCACTCCCTGAGACCCCCTTTTTATTGCCAGCAATGAAGGTGGCTCGTGGCTGGGAGGACAAGTAGGACCCAGTGTTACAACTCTTGATTCCTCACAAGGAATATGTGAAAAGTCTTGAGATGATTGCTTTTTACAATGACATTGCCTGCTGCTGTAAAGTAGAGAATAAGTATTTTTGTTTGTTTTCATTTGCTTCCACATGCAGCTTTTGCTTTTTCTTTCTTACACTGCTTTTGTCTCAACCCACACGTTCTTTTTTTTTTCATTTCATTTTCTCCCCCCCCCAGCATGCTGAGGAGGAGGAGCAACAGAGTGGCTGGGCAGGCACCTACCAGCCAGCCAAGGTCAACCCACCACACAGCGACAGGACAGGGGGCAATGGCTTTAAACTGAAAGAGGGCAGATTTAGATTAAAGAAAGAAACTGTTTACTGTGAGGGTGGTGAGGCCTTCGCACAGGTTGCCCAGAGAAGCTGTGGCTGCCCCCTCCCTGGCAGTGTCCAAGGCCAAGCTGGACGGGGCTTTGAGCAGCCTGGTCTGGTGGGAGGTGTCCCTGCCCGTGGCAGGGGGCTGGAACTGGATGATCTGTAAGGTCCCCTCCAACCCAAACCATTCTGTGATTCTGTGATGGAGAAAACTGTGTTAATGTCACCAGTTCCAGCACCGACATCTCCCCTCACCCCAAAGCCGGCGCTATCCAAACACTCCATAGCGTTAAGACATGCAATGAGACTGCGTCTGTACACAGCCATCACTCCAGAAGCATCGGAACCAGGGTCAGCGGGTCCTTCCCAAAGCGTCTGTAACATGAGCAAGTGTTAAAATAACAAAAATCAAACCTCAGCAACTGTTAACGGCTTCTCACTCGCAGTTTGCAACACTAAAATTTGCTGTTTAACTCAGCGTGGAGTGCTGGTGCATGTACTGATACCAATAATAACACTGTAAGAGCCAGACCATGAAGAAATCTCCTACAGGCAGAACGCAGCAGCAACGATGAGGCATTCAAATGCAAGGTGGACACGCAAAGCCCCTTGCGAGATATGATCAGAAACAGAAAACTAGAGTTAGAAGTGGCATGCCAAAAAAGCGAGGAGCGGGCCAAAAAAGGAGGAATCGAAGTAGCTGAGATGAGAGATAGCCAGGCACAAGCGGGACAAAGGAGTATTTCACGGCCCCAGTGCAATAAACTCTGGTTATGTGGAACAGTAACCACGAGACACGCTCGGAACAACATTCACGTCGTTTCCTTTGCAGGAGTTAAACCCAACATTTCTGCTTTATTGTTATGTTTGAGAAAACTCTGCCTGTTCTGAAGAACGGCCGCTTGCCTTCCACTCCCGGAGCCAGCGGGGAGTTAACTGCTGGGCTGCCAGTCTCAGGACAAACCCAAGCCAAACCATCTCCAGGCGCACCAGCAGCTCTCTGCACCACCTTGGCCAGCCACGGTGGGTTTTGGACAGCCCAGCCACAACACGAAAACATTTGGCAAGTTTTAAAATTGCTGCTAGAACAGCTCCAAAGCTGTCTGCACCTTCCGAACGGCAGAGCCCAATCACTTGGCGAGTTCCCGTGAAGTGTCTGTACCGACCCGGTTCTACCAAAGCCGTGTTCTGGTGTCCTGACTACTGGACCTGCTCCGGGGCTGTGGCAAAACAAGTCACAGCCTTTGGACGTGGCTACTCATGACTGTGAGTTTAAGTAAAAACTGGGAGAACCCTCTGCTCCAGGGTTTTTTTCTGACATATTTGGCATCAAGGTCTCCCTGTTTGCTATGCCTGCTGTAAGATACGCTACTGCTGATGCCAGCACTGCAATTAATTTCCAGCACACTATGGACAGTCTCTGCTGAAAACTTCTGACACCAGTTAGTCTTAAAAGCTTCCCCAGCCCTTCCGGCAGGCTTCACTGCCGCCCGAATGCAGGGCTCTACCCACGCACGCAAAAATTTCCACCTAGCAAAGCACACGCATGACTAAGCCAAGTATTCTGCAACCCATTCTGAGCGCATTAATGCTTACCCAAGTACACTTTGCCGAGCCATCACCTTTCATAACGAGCTGACCGGGAAGTGCTTTAATCGCATTAAGTCACCAAACTATCAAAGATAATTTGACATGGCTGAAGGCGATATTCCATTTTTCTGGAGAGGTTTCACATCAGCTTAGCAGAGGGCTACACCAGGGACAGGTTCCCTAACCAGCATCTCAAAGCTTTAAAATTCACCTAGCAGCAGCAGATACAAAGTGCGTTCGCACATGCTGAATTACCATTCAATTGTGAGTTACTTAGTTTCAGCACTCTTTAGTACTTCACAAAGAAAACACAGGAAAACATGAAGAAAAGTCACAGCAAATTATGTCTAAGAGATTCCTGCTTTTAAACTATATCCATTAAAGAACACTTTTACAAGAAGCTGCAAAGAGTTTAAGCCCCACGGTTTAGGAGAAGATGGGGGAAGAGCACACCTTGTTAGCCTCAAATGTAAATTATTTCCAGGAAAAGAAACTACAGGATAATCTCTGCCTTTTTCCATGGGAGCCCAAAGCACGTAACACAAAGGGGTGTCATTAGCAATGGGAAGCGTAACGTGGGGAGCTGTGTGACGCAGAAACACCACTGCCAGTTTTCACAGCAAAGATCTCCTTCTTCACAGGGTTTTACAAAGGAGATGATCTGACTAAACCCTCTTCAGTACATACAGACCACCTCGACAGTTTTTCTCCTCCCTCCTCTTAGCACACTGAAGACACGACTACAGCTAGTTCCACGCCTGCAAAAAATACTTCGCTCTGAAGAAAATCTCCTTCCAGCTCCAAGTTAAATATTTACCATTTACATTTTTTTCTAAAACATAGTATTATTCTTGTTGACAATTTCTCAGCATAAGTGTATTTAAGATTTCTAGCTATCTAGCTCTGAACAGGAAATCACTCTGATGTCAATTAATCCAGAAATATTTAAAAAATCAATTAAGAGAATGGTTAATTCCATGTGTCTAAATGCAACAACATAGAAACTGATACCAAGAAACTTTCAAACTGGGTATCACAAAGGAAACCTTCCATCCCACCGGCACCCAGGCCCCAGAAAATCACAGGTGCTTCAGGCACAGCACAGTGAGGTTTATGATGGAAAGCGACCTCTGAAAGCTGAACGGAAAGCTCGGTTTTATACTGGATTCCTTATTGTTTTAAATACAAACAAATCAGTGAACAAAGAAAATGATGAGATGTTAAGAGTTTAAATGCACAGATTTATATGTATTCTTAAAAGACACACAACAAGAATTCTTAAAAAAATGTAATACGAACTTTATTGTATGTATCATTCCATAATCACTTGGAGATAAGAGAATAAATACAATAAAATCTTTAAGTTACAGGTGGGAGATGTAGATCTGAATAGAACTCTCTGTCCCAGCAGCATAAATCATCTTGGAGATCACCGAACCATTTGATTTCAAATTCTCCAGCTGCTGCAGCTACCAATGACGACAGCGCTGACGCGCCTATGCACTTCACCTCACCCTGCGATTCCTCTTTTAGCTTTTCTGGTATCAGATCCTGCCCCATAACCTGCAAACAGAGTAAGAAAGACGGGAAACAAGAAAATCACTTGCAGAGAAAACAGCAGATACGACATTCACCACCGGTCTTTACCAGAAAAGCCCTTGCCACATGAACGACCCACCGTCCAGAAGTTTCCAAGTCACGCTGGAGTCATCTGCGAGCAGGGAGCAGCGCCAGCCCGAGCTCCCCGTCCGCACAACGCTGCCCAGCCTCTGGCTGCCCAGGCACGGGGGGATGGCGGGGAAATCCCCGCCCAGCTCCGCACCGAGAGCTCACCTCGCCGCGGCACCAGCACCCCGATCTCCTCCCGGGGCTGCCCCACCGAGCGAGGCGAGCACAGGAGTTCTTTTCCCAACCTTCCCAACCCTGAGATGGCCTGCAAGCTGCTGCCCTCTGATGGAGGAGATCCCTCCAGGCTGCCCGGCAGCGGCTGGGCTCTCGCTAACCGACAGCGGCAGCACCCACAGCAACGCTGGAACCTCGCTGGCTTCCTCCCGCTCCCCAAGATGAACGTCAGGATCTCTGCAGGCAGCAGTCAAAATGTTTAATCTCTATGAATACAGTCATGCGAGGTTACTCTCCTCCTTTGTGTTTCTTTAAAACTAGAACCCAGTACATCAAACAGAAGGAAGAAATTGTGTTAAAGGACATCTCTGTTTTTTTCTGAAGATGTTTAATACTTTTTTCTGGAAGTGTTTAACACTGCTGCGGCCATCAAAGTGATCTCCACTTCCATTTCATACTCGTGATTCACTCTATGGCATCTGAAATTCCCGAGATACAATCTGCACCCCGGGAAATGCACAGCGATGATGTATCTGCAGATACAAGTCCCAGGAGAAACCCAACACCCCCGAGCATTCCCGAAAGGAGCATCTCAGCGGCCCAGCGACACGCCACGTGGCACAGCCCAGCGCGACACGGGAACGGCTGTCACTCCCAGACAGCACGCTACCAGGGCAACCCGCCCCAGCTAATCGACCTCGCTTCCTGGCAGAGTTAACGAGCTCCGGGGAGTGTCACGCTGACGGGACTCTGTGCCTGAGCTGGCCCGGGTACCTCAGCCAGCCTTCGTACGGCTGAGAACCTGCACACAGCGAAACGCCCCCTCACCTTGGTCATCCACAGCAAGGAGCTGTCACTGAAACTGAGCCGTGCCACTTTGTCGTCGATGTCTTTTTGAGCTCTCACGTTATTCTCCAGAGCAAAGGACGACTGTTGCACCTGGGTAAGCTGAAGTAAAAGCCTGAAATGAAAAAGGCAGTTAAATAAAGGCCCAGCTGGCAGAAGAGTCAGTCAGCAAACCTAAACCCAAACAAAATACAACGCTTTCAGAACAGCTCTTCTCCCTGACTTTTGCCAACGGCAAGAACTGCAAAGAAATTAACGCATCCGTATCAATGCACCACGGGTGCGGTACAGCCGTGCTGTGACAGCAGTACGCAGAAGAACTGTTGAACAACAACTCGCCAAGTAGCTGTGGCTGCTTTGCACAAGCGTTTTTCCCCCACGTATTCGTCTCGCAGCTCAACAGCGAAGCTCGGATCCGCTGGCATGAGCTGCAGTACCTCAGGCGTCCCACAGCCTTCTTACAGCCTAACGAGGCAGCAGCGCGTTGCTGCCTATGGCAGTGATTCTAACCTGAAAAGCTAGAAATTTGGGGGGTTTAGACAAATACCAAACATCCTCTCCTGGAATATGTTCTAAAATCTTCCATCACAGTTTTACGTTCAAGGCAGTGCCCCAGAAGTCACCGCCGCGGCTCGGAGCAGGTCAGACGCTGTGCTCGCAGCGTGGCTTCGCGTCAGAGAGGGAGCCCATCGCCAGCTGCTCGACCAGAGGGAGCAGCGGCAGGTTCCAGAGCCCGCCTCGCACAAGGGCTGCAAAACACCTCCGCAGGGGAAGCATCTAAGTGTGTTCAACCCAGGGACCACTGGGACTTAGTAGTATCGCTGCTGAAACTACGTTTAATTCAAACTTTATGCATCAAGAACAACAACAAGTTTCTTTATCGCATTTACCAAAGCTAAATGAGGCAGGTGTTATAATAAAGTTGTGTGTTTTTACGAAGAGAAGACTTAAGATCTTAGATGAAAGTTTTCATCTGAGCATTATAAACACCAAAATCTACAAGTCTGAGCCAACAAACCATTTGTAAATTCAGTAAAGTTTTTACTGAAAAATTCAAAGTAAAAGTTAGAAGTATTTTTAATTTGTAAAAGGATTTTTGTTTCAAAACATGCATCAATGTAAAATAAGAAAGAATGAAAACTAAACAAAACCATTTCTTCTTTTTTTTTTTCTGACAAACTAGACGAGTCAATTGTTCACGATGCTTTAACACAGAACCTTATTTCCTACAAAAAGCCACACCAACATCCCTTCTCCAGGTGCAATTTACCCTGCACATATGTTCATGCAACATCCACATCTCACTTAAAACCCAACAGACCTGCAAATAGCAGACAACCCACCTAATGCCTAAGCCCCTGGCAGGGGAGAAGCTCACCCTGGCCAAGCGCCCCTGCAAACACAAACCACAGGAACACACGGTGAAACCGTGCAGCCCCGCAAGGAAATCCCACAATTTACAACTGTCTCGATGCTGAACCATACACACCGAAACAAGCAACACACATTATTTTATTACAAATCTAGCTTTAATACTCAATATCAGTACTAAATCTATTAACCTCTCCCAAGTAGCAATTACAGTCATCATCTCTCAGTCTGAGTACAGTTAAAAGCTACTACATCTTTTTTAAGGTTTCTTAAATCTTGCTCTAACAGAGCAGTTCTGAAGTGTTCTCTGTAAACATTTTTGGAAGTTTATAAAATGGCTTTAAGTATGTTTGGTGACTAACACGTTACTGAGAGGCAAGGGGGGGGCGGAAATCCAAAACTACTCTAACAGAAACAGTTCCCAATGATCCCTTTGAGAAATTATGTTTTGGGGATTTTTGTTGTATGCAAGAGTTTTAGGAAGAGAGGGAAGAAAAGGAAAGAGCCTTTTAATGCAGCCCTGTCAATCACCTGTCAGAGTTCATTTTTCAACCTCACCCATTATGCAGATTGGGGTATTATTATAAAATACATTTTTGCTCAAGCATGAGGCTTCAAGCAAGTAAGGCAGGTGGCACCCACAGAAGGCAGGCTGGCTGGCCTTCCCTCTGGGGCACTGCTGCTGCTGCTGCAGCTTTAATACCAGCCCCGGAAACAGCCATACTCTAATGGGCTGTTGTATATAATTACTTGAAAAGATTCACATAATGAGGTCATTAAAAAACGCCTTACTTCTCAACAGTGCATGACACCGGTTTACTCTTTCCACTCAGATTTAGGTTGTCCACAGCTACCCTGCCAGTGGATTTTGCTTTTTAGATCCGCAGCAACAGCAGGGTGCTCCTAAGTTAGCGCTGCCAACGCTGAAACTAACGTTTAAATTGAAAATGTAAACTGAAAATACTAAGGCTGGGAAAAATATGCTTTAAATTGTTCTTGGCTGGGAGAAGTTAACATTACTCTAAGAATACGTTTAGTTACCTTGCTCTGATAAACGAGGCACATGCCTTTATCCCAACTTTCTTTGACATGTTCTGCTCCCAGGAGTCGGAGGCTGTACGCTTCCCTTCACCCGTCCTTTCCGGTTCTTCCGAAGTGCGGAGGAATTCTGTTCCAGCTGGGCTGCTCCTACAAGTCACAGCGTTCTGCCTCTCTGTCTCTGCAGCAAGGCTGGACCCAGGGCCTTCTTTCTGCCCGTCCCATCTGTGAGGCTGCAAATCACTCTCTCTTCCAGCTGATGTTTTGAAACTACTGTCACTAACACTAACCTCCTCGGACTGATTCAGGTTTGTTTCCCGAACGACTGACGGAGACACACTCTGTAAAAGGCTCATGTAAGCTTCAGCAAGTAACTTCCAGTACCAAGGGTTGAAAGGATGTAAGCAGATCAGTTGCTGCAGACACACCACCTTTCTCCCTACGTCTTCCAGACCCTGGTAAATGGCAAACTGCAGGTTGAGAACCGTCGTTAAGTGATCTGTGTTAGTAGCGCCGCTTCTCTAGAAACAAAAGATAACAGATTAAAACCAGGAGTGGAACAGAGCCATCCTTCAGAGCCTAACAAAATGTCCCCCTGCATAATGACACACAAATATCACTAGTTTTTGGATTGTGCAAAACGGTGCTTTTAATTTTAAATGATACGTGATACAGATCATGCACAATCACGCTGACAGCATTCCCTCTGGCTGTCTCGGAAAGGCAGGAAGGCCCCGAATGCAGTCATTTGTTTATTTGCCTTCAAAGTTTTATACAGCTGCACTTGTTTGTGGTATAAACACCTTTTCTACAAAATAAACAGCAACAGTAAAATTCTAGCAGACATCGGAGCCTCTGGACTTTTTCCTTTACGGGAAAAACTCAATTTGTGGTTAGATACTCTTGTTGGTGGCAGTTTGGCAGCGAGTATATGGAAATAAAAGGGAGTTTTGAAATGTCACTTTTATAGTGGAAAGATTTAAGCACTCATTTATCCCCTTTCTTATTCCTATTACATTACATTAATTCTGCCTGGCAGAGCATGATATTTAGTCCCTTCCAGGACGACCAGCCTCTCCACACAGGGAGCTCGTTGTGGTACAGGGCGTTCTGATTTCTACAGAGTGATTACATCTGCAGTGACAGTTACCCTCTGTTTACCAAATACTCGGAGCAGTGAACATCCTGAAGGATTATACACACGAAGACTATTTTTCCAGAAAATGGTCCGTATAAAAGAACTACCGGCAATATTTTCATGTTCAAAGCTCAGAAGAAAGACTGCGTTATTCACCATTTTCTCTGCAATATCCAGAGCCTCCTTGTGCCTTCCGAGGCGAGACAGACACCGAGCCTGGCCCTCCTGGACATCCCGTCTCATTGCAATGTTACTGGGAGGTAAGAGCAGTAAGCAGTTCGAGTATTCACACAGGGCTTTCTAGCGGTGTCGACAAAAAGAAAAGCCAAACAAAACAGTGAGAGATTTTCATTTGAAGGTACGCCTGACAGTATGTTCTGGTGATGACCACAGTCACAAAGGGAATGCAGAAGCTGAAGTCCACATTTTCATTTCTCCGGTCTCAGCTACCAACCTCTGCCAGCAGCGCACGAGGGCCCCAGTGCCACACAGCCACATCCAGACAGCGATGCGCAACCACAACCCCAGCTCGTGTTTAAGCCCTGGCAGGATTCACCACGCATCTGCCCACCTCTCCCCCACGAGGCCTGACCCAGAAGGGATCACCTACCGACTGGACAACGTGTGACACGAGGTGTCTTTCCCCTAGCTCAACGATCAGAGCACTCATCCAAAAACTGGGGGACCTTCTTTCAAACCCACGATGCTCTCCACGGGAAGGTTTGACCCTGCAAGTACCTCACCTCATATGAGCAATCAGCAAGTTGGAGAATACCACAAGGAAGGCGAACCTCCATCGCTCCTGTAGGGTGGTTCTAATTTGCATGAAGTAATTAAATATTAATTGGGCTAAGGAAAAAGCCAAGAATGAGCAATACTTCTGTAGCTGAATGCTCAGGGCACTCATCAGGACTCCAATTAACATTTAAATACATTAAATTAAGTATTCAGTGAAGCTAAGACTGGAATTTTGGTTCCTCCCTCTCCGTATGAGTGCTCAGACCACAAGACTAACGAGCAGCACTCATTCTCCCATCTCTCAAAATGAATATTTCATTATTCCTTGCAAACTTTAATGGTTCTAACAGAAAGGGCTTCCAAGCGACACACCCTAAATACTTCCTAGCAAAATGGCTGAAATATTTTTCTTCCCTGCTGTTAAGTTCGCATTCCTTCTCAAGCAAATGAGGGAGCTCCCCTCCGTTCAGTGAGTGCAGCAGCCACTGGTGAAAGTGGATCAGAGGAGGTCTGCAGGACACCCCTCTGCTCCTTGTTCTGTGACACAGGGATACAAGCTGGCAAGGGTCAGGCATTACGACTCCCAGGCAGACTCTGCAGCCATCTATATCCGAAAAACGGGCACAGCTTGTCCTTGGCATTTCCTACCAAGTGGCCTAGGCTGACGTAAAAAAGTACTCACAGTGAGTGACGAGATTGCTACCCCCACTTAGTTATTTCCAGCCCCTTTTCTAAGGTCGGTGCTCTCAAATCTGTAATTTCAGGTGCAGTCTAGTTCTGGTTCTGTCACAGTGACCCAGGCTCGCAGTAAGACAGAAGACTACACATTTTTAATATGGGTCACTGTGACAGAGAAGGGTTAGGAGGCAATGACCTGCTCCACTAGCAGATCTAAGGGGGTGTCATTTCCTCTGAGAGGCTCCACAGCGCACAGCAAGGCGCGGTCTGCTCTTCCGGAGGGTCAGCAGCTGTGCCTGACCACAGCCGGAGGCAGCTCTCTTCTCAGCACGCTTTCACGAACCCCTTCGGGGTGTCTCAGCTGAGGGCGGAAAGCATCTGTTGGGTATAGACAAGGCAACAGCAGCGCTGGAGTAACACCACAAAGCAGAACTCAGTGCCAGCTGAGGTAATAAAAGACCCACAAACCCAATGGGCAAGGCGAATGGAGTGGAATCAGAAGTCGGCCTGGGGGCTTTTAAATCAGGGAGCCTGTAACGCAAAGCATAGCCTGGAACAAGCACCTTCATCACAGCTGAAACCGGAGCAGAAGCGGCTGACTGCCACCAGCAAACCAGGTAACAACAGACCGGGTCCTGCAAAGAGGACTACAGCAGCAAGAGAGCATCGGTGATCAGGAAAATGATCGTGCCCTGGTACTCGGCACTGGTGAGGCCGCACCTGGAGTGCTGTGTTCAGTTTTGGGCCCCTCACTACAGGGACACTGAGGTGCTGGAGCGTGTCCAGAGAAGGGCAACGAGGCTGGTGAGGGGTCTGGAGAACAAGTGTTATGAGGAGTGGCTGAGGGAGCTGGGTCTGTTCAGTCTGGAGAACAGGAGGCTGAGGGGGGACCTTATTGCTCTCTACAACTACCTGAAAGGAGGTTGTAGTGAGGCGGGTGTTGGTCTCTTCTCCCAGGTGACTAGTGATAGGACGAGAGGCAATGGCCTCAAGTAGCATCAGGGGATGTTCAGACTGGATATCAGGAAAAATTTCTTTACTGAGAGAGTGGTCAGGCATTGGAACCGGCTGCCCAGGAAGGTGGTGGATTCACCATCCCTGAAGGTGTTTAAAAAACGTGTAGACGTGGCACTTTGGGATATGGTTTAGCAGGCAGGGTGGTGTTGGGCGGGTGGTTGGACTTGGTGATCTTAGAGGTCTTTGCCGACCTTG